ACATGCTGAACACTGTGGAAATTCCATGTGGCCACCAATAATTTGTTACATTGTATATTTTTCTAGAAAATTCTGCACTGTTTATGCTATTTTCATTGGGCTCTCAATCTGTTCCAAGTTTATTTCCTGTTCTATTCTACCATAACACAATCTGTGTTGAGACCTCAGACTGTTCTATAGAATCATGGGGCTTTCCCTTGGAAGGTAAAAGTCCTCTGGAGTTCAGTGTGAGACACTTCCTTATTTGTTCATTAGATACCTTGAAACAACAGCCACTGCACAACCGGACTAAGTTCACTGATTGCCTGTCAACCGTCTGATTCAAAGGTTATCAGCCAGTAAAAATCATCTAACTTAATGTCATAGAAAACCATCCACTCTTTGGTTCAGGCCCTGGACAGATGATCTGAGTATAACCCTGTCTGGCTGTCTGATTCATGGTATGGGCCCGAGGCTCAACCTTGAAATGCAGGCAGACAACTGGTATCAACCGATGGTACCATCCTTCTTGACAAGGGTGTTTTCAAGCCTGAGCTGTCACCCTATTCCCCTCTGAGGTATTAGCTGGATGAGAGAGGTGAGGATGGGGGAGGGCTTTTTGTAGGCAAAGCACAGAGCACAGGAAATAGAATTTTGAGGATTCTCCAGGAAGTGGGGAGGATGAGCACAACTAGAGCTCCAAAGGAACCCTGGACCACAGAGATGGGCAGCCCAGAATCAGGTAAGGCAGCAGGGGCCGTGTGGGCTCCAGGGCCATTGGAATGAACCACAGACCATGAGGTGAGGAGGATGTGGCCCTCTGGAGTCCGGACTAGGAGGAGAAGGAGGAAGGAGTGCAGGGGCAACCAGGACCTGTGAGGCTGTTAGCTGACACCCCAGCTCCTTCCAATATGCTTGAGCGCCATGGGTGTGCGTGCCTCTAGTATATCCTCATGTCTCCCGGCCTTCCCCGGCCCACCCCTTCTCCAGGCTGCACGTGGTCCTTCAGAGCACAGATTTGAACACAGGTGACCCTTAAATATATGTGAATGCTCAGCCTCACTCAGTCAGAGGAATGCCAATGAGAACTCTGAAGAAACCATTTTTTAAATCTCCTGATCATCAACATGTGAGATTGCATGGCATGATGGGACAGTGGAGAAAGAAGTCTCACCCATGGCTTGGAAATGTGAATTTAGAAATACGGCAAGCAAAAGAGAAGAGCCCGGGCTCTGCAGTCAGACCGCCTGGGGTCCAAACCTCTGTCTCTTGGGAGTTAAGTTTCTTTAGGTCTCAGCCTCCTTATCGGGAAAATGTGAGTGGTCCTAACTTACTTCACAGGGCTCCTCGAAGGATTTAACGAGACAACGCTCAAAGACACTTAGAACAGTGCCTGGCACATAGGTGATAAAATGTTAGCCATCTTCCACTGCTATGGGGAAGAAGGCCGATTGGACTCAGTCACAACACACACACCACTGGCCAAGCGACACCACTTCTAGTTGTGTGTCATATGGAAATAATAGAACAATATGTAAAGATAAATGTACAAGGGGACTCAATGCAACATTGACTGGAATAAACGACTAGGTACAACCCAAATACATAACAATAGGAAACAAGTTAAATAAATTGTGCCATGGTCTTAAAATAGAATACTATGCATCTACTTTTAAAAATGAGGCAGCTAGATATGTACAAATATGACACAATCTCCAAGATATATTGTTACATTAAAAGAATAAGGTGTAGAATAGTGGCCAGAGTATGCTACCACCTGTGTTTAAAAAAAAAAACACACCATAGATACTATGTGTTGTGGGTGTATACTTTCATGTGCAAAAAACTCTTTGAAAGGCAACACATGAAATTAGTAATAGTTGTTTCTTTCAGAGAAAGGATATGGCTGTTTGGAGGATGCTCCTTTTACCCACGGCAGAAAGTTAGCTTTTTTTATAGTTAAAAAATACAATCTGATATGTCATTCCTCTGCTTAAATTTCTTCCATTTGCTCTTAGGACTAAAATCTAAGGTCCTTAACAGAGCCTACAAGACCCTTCCAGGCGGGGCCCAAGTCACCTCTGCCCCAACCATTCTGTCCATGCCCCTCCCCAACCCCCATTATTCAAGCACGCTGAGCGGTATTCACACCTCTTGCTCTCACTAACCACTACTTCTGTCCAGGTGCTGTTCCCCTGGACAGCATGTTCACCTTCATTCTCTTTGCCTCAGCATTCTAACTCACCCTTCTGGTCCGAGCTTAGCTGTCACTTTCCCTAGAAATGCACTGCAGGATCCATGCCACAGCTGGGCTGTCCCTATTCTGCCCCCACTACACTTTCCACCGCCCTGATGGTAGCAGAGACAAGGAGCGTGTCCCAGGTTCTCTTTCTCAAAATGCCTTTTGACTTCAAGAAGGTTCTGAAATATCTGTGGCAGACCCTCTGGGTGCCCCCCCAAGAGCCGTCTTTCCTCTTTGTTGAGGACAGAAGCCAAGTTCCAAGTCCAATGCTAAAGAGACAGCAGAGTGCCATGCCCCAAGGGATGAGTCAAGGTTGGTGGAAGCCAATCAGGGTAAACCTGCTTATCTTGGCTAGATATTTGCTCTTCCAGCATCCTGTGCAGCTAAGGGTGAGCAGGTGACTCAACTCTAGAAAGATTTCTTGTCTCTTTGATAAAAGGAGAGCGGCCAACAAAGCCCTTGTGCCTCTGTCCTTGGGCTTCCTGCTTCGGATGCCATCACATGAGGTGTGATGTTGAGGACTGTGGCAAATAACTTGAGACCCCATGGGGAAAAGATGCCCCACGTCACTGAGCAACTAACCCAACCCTAACATTGTCACTGCCAGACTTCAAGAAAAAAGGGGTTGTACTAATGAGCTAAACTCATCCTTTCCGTTTATCACGTGACTCTTGGTAAGGTATTCTGTTAAGTGCAACCAAAAGTGTTCCTAATTGCACACCACAATAGAGTAGACAGACTTGAATCCCAGGATCAGTTCACAGAAATCAAACAAAGGGTCCCTGATTGAGGCAAGGAGCAATGCCTTGAGACCTGACAAATTAAGTTTCCCTTTCTGGACCTACCCTGATCTGAACTTTCATGCCCAGGTCATAACTAGCTCAGTACTTAGGGGTAGAGCCAAGGTCAAAGTCACCAAGATAAGCAGCCCATGACATTTACTCTGTTCTTAGACTTCTGTAACCTTCACACTGCTAGAGAAGACTTATGTACGAAGACATTTTCAACCCTCAAGATGATCCTTCTCTAGGACAACATGACAGTAAGCAGTTAGTTCACTGATTTCAACTTTCTCCCAGAGGTCATCAGAAGTTACTGGTACCTGAATAGAGAGCCCAGAAATGGACCCTCAACTCTATGGTCAACTAATCTTTGACAAAGCAGGAAAGAATGTCCAGTGGAAAAAAGACAGTCTCTTCAACAAATGGTGTTGGGAAAATTGGACAGCCACATGCAGAAGAATGAAACTGGACCATTTCCT